CAATACTAACCACCAAAAATCGTCATAAACACATGTTTAGAAAAGTGACCAGTCCAGCCCGTGGTTCTAAATGACCGATCACGTGTATTTATGACTATTTTTGGTGGTTAACCAAAGTAACAAAAATGAATGAAATTACCGAGTCCCATGGACCATCACCATCCTTCTTTTACCCACAATTAGTGTTGTTAAACGGTAGATTTGAGCCGATTTTTAAAAACGGCTAACTCAATATTTTATCCAGAAAAATATTACTCAAGCCTGAAGATTTTGCTCATAGATGGCACAAAGGTCTAGACATCTATTAGCGAAATCTGGAGCCTTAAGCAATATTTCTTTGGCTAAAATATTGAGTTAGCCGTTTTAAAAAATCGGCTCAAAATGAGCCGTTTAACAACACTACCCACAATTGAGGAAAAGAGATTTTATTATCATCAAAATAAAATTTTATTTAATAAAAATTAATTTTATATAAAAAAACAGTTAAATAAATTTTTTAAATTAGATAAAAATGTTTCCCCTCTTTTTTATTTTTTAATTTACTACCATGTTTACTAATTGCTATTACTTTGCTAGTATTGTATAGTTTAATGATTATTTATTATTATTAAAAAAAATTATTAAAGAAAATAAAAAGAACTTAATATATGCAACTCTTAGATGGATTAAAAAATTATTTTCTTAATTATAGAAATGAATAAGAGATTTATATATATTTTTAGAAACGTTCCGAGACCGTTTTAAAATAAATGTTCTGGTTCCGTTCCATGTAAAATAATTTTTTAAATATAGCGCTATCTATATTATATCTTTTTATTTATAAAAGTAATAATATTAAAATTAAAAATTAATATCTAAAATTTTGATAGTTAAATATGAAGGCAATAAACATTCCTAACGAATATAAACACACCAAAAAATTCCCTTCTTAACAATGTTATTTTTTTTATCTATACTGGATATAAGAAAACACTTGGAATTTTTTTTTGTTTGATATTTTAAAATGTAGAATCTTAAGGGCTATAAATTTTAACTCTATATTAAGTATTTTTTTAAAAAAAATAAAATGAAATCACGCATTGGGCGATTTTCGAATTTGAAGACGTATATCTTTGGATCTGGTTGAGCTAGCGCAATAAAATTTTGATTTTATTAAAAATTACAATATAAATAACCAACTTGGCAAGATGCTATTTAACAAGTAAAATAGTAAACACTCTCGTGGATATCTAAACTCGGGGCACTGTGTCGCCCAAGGCTAGCATGGAGCTAGTGTCATGAGAGGATTCTTCTGGTTTGAAGGAACAGTAAAATCAATGGCATGTTATATTTGCTATGCTCATAAGCTGAATCGTTCTTGTATCAAAATGTTTATCATTGTCCCGAAAATTTTTAAGGATTTCAGAATTTATTTCCTTATATAAAAAAAATATTAAAACTGTGTCTTTGGTTTATTTTAAATGTTGGCACTGTTTTTTTTCTTTTTATTTTCGTTTTGTTTTTTTTTTCGTTTATTATTTAGGTTGTTTAGTCGAAACTATATAGCTGGCTGTTTGGAAACAAGTCGAACAAGGACACACCCTCAAGGCTAAGAACATTTTACTGAATTTCACCTTTTTCTTAAAATCTAAGACAATTTTCTGAGAATTTCATATATTTTTCTGAGCGGATTATTTTTAAATCTGGATGTTTCAGTTTTATATCTGAGCAATTAAATCTTTTATCTGGGCATTAAGAAATAATTCTAAGCATTATTATATTTTCTGAGCTTAAGTAACTATTTTGAATTTTAAATATTTTTTTGAGCACATCAGTTTTAATTCTGAGTGATTAAATAGGAGCCTGCATCCCATAAAAGCAATATTTCCACATATACGATTGCGTATCTTAAATATTTTTATAGCTGCAATAAAATGTGATGTGTAATCAGAGACCTTCATGGACAGGACCCGGTCCATGGACCGATTTATTTTCCTGCAGGCTTAGGTCGGACTTGGGTTATTGAATATTTTTTTTAATGGTGGGTCTAAAATTTTTCGTTTAAATTTAGCATATATTAAGGATATTTAATAAAACATATAAGAAATCATTATAATTTCATCAGAATTATTTATCACACTACACTATTCTACACAACTTAGAATGTTAATTTTATTTTTATTGCTTGTTTTTTTAATCGCAAATTTAGTATCTTACATATACTTGACAATACTATAAAATTTAAAGTGTAGAGGTAATAAATATTGTTATATTTTGAGACAGAGGTGCACTGGGAGGCTAAAGGCCCATGAGACATTTTTAAACTTCTAAATCGGTTTTGAACACTTGAAAAGAAAGGAATTGGCTAAGTTAAGCCTAAGATTAAATTTCCTCCAAAGTTGGCTTATTTCCTCATTAATGGTGAATATTTGTGCAAATAATCAAGAAGCCCAGTTAATTTGACCCAAAAATTTTCTTTCTACTGACATCATTAAAAAGGCTTCTAAATAATCCTGCTTAATATTTATTCGAAGTTTATTATTAATTTGTGAAAGTTGGTTCGTAACTCACTTGAAAAAAATAAAGTGAGAAGATATTCGTATCGTATACTTTATATAATTTGGTATATATGAATATTATAACGACATATAACCTCTCATATAGACATATCAAATATTGCTTGCATTTTGTATTACATTTGGTTAAAGATTATCCGCCATTGCAACTTTCTTTCATAGAATTGAATAAATTTTTCATTTTCACTTTCAAGTTCTGATGTGTAATCATTATGATAAATCAAATCGTCTGTACACTTCTTCAAGCCAATAATTAGATTGTTATAAATTCTAGAAAATAAAATTGTACATATCGCAGCTTATCACTATCTACCTTAAGATTCATTTCAAAGCCTCTTTAGTTATACTTTCCCTGTTAATTTCATCAAAACTCATAGGATGGAAATTGTGGGGTTTTACGAAGGTTTTATAAAAAAAAATATAATTTTATTTTAACAAAATGAAAAGATAATATCTTAACAATGCTCGAAAATAAATTAACGATAATATCTATCAATTTACATATCATAGTAAATTATGTCATAAAACAAAAATATAATTTGTTTATAAGCATCAGTTATAAGATGTTGATTTTTCGAAAATCTTTCTGTAAAATATGTAATTATCTGATCAATGATATCATGAAATACTTCAATTCTGTATCATCAAATCGGCAAATTTTTATTGAAAGATAATGCCATATTTGTAGCTTTCATTGTATTGAGAGGAATATAGAATTTTCAACCATTTTCCAGGCAGTTAAAATATCTAAAAATTTGGGCTTGTTAGCTACTAAAAATATCTATATATATTTTTTCTTTATATTTAATGATCTATATTAGATAAAATGTAGATGTTATGTTTTGGAAAGATCAATAATAATAAATATATCTTAATTAAAAAGATTAATGGATAAATAATGCAATAGAGTTCCTATTCTCCCTTCTCTAGCACATGAAAATCCTTAAGGTTCACTTAAGTTGGGGGAAAAGGTAGTGTTTGTAGTGGTCCGGTCGCAAATGACTATTGAGTTCGACGGTCTGATTCGACAGAAGACTAATTAAAAATTATAAAAGTTTACTGCTTTTTAGTTAATGTACATGTTCATGAACACATAAACATGATTGTTTAATGCCTAACACTTTATAATATCTCATTCATCGTTTACTCATTTTATTCTTCCGTTTCATTCATTCGTCAAGTAATTTAATTTATTAGAAATGGAAATTGAAATCATAGAAGATGATAATACTATTGAATTACCACCCTCAGCCAAAGAAAAACTATTGATTTAGAAAATAGTATTAGTAGTGCAAATGAAAAAAATCGATCAAATTAATTTGAAAATAAGTTAAAGAATTATATAAACTTTATGAAAGGATAATTCTGGGAAAACATGTAAAATATGTCTCCAGATTAATTTCAATCACAAGTAAAATATGCATATATATCAAATTGAGAGCTCAAATTTTAAATAAATGAATAAAAACTTCATCAAATAAACCTACTTATAGTTATGATTAGGGCTGGAAACAATAAAAACCCAAGATTAATGAAATATTGTATTAGTATTGGATGGGTAAAAAATGGAATCATTTTTGATTTTTTAGAGGATAATTAGAATATTTATTTAAATCAGTTTTATTTTATAACCAAATATCTATCCCATTCAAAAACAAAAACCAATTATATATGCTAATCAAATTGATTTAAATTATATTCAATAAATTTATATTGGTTTAATCTTTTTGTATAAATAATATAATAAAAATGATTTGATGATATACTTAAAATATTGGTAATTTAAAACATTTCGTTTTTAATAATTTTTTTCTCTTAAATTTTTTTATATAAAGATATAGGATTAATAAATACATATGCAAATTTTCAAGTTGGCCCGAGTTCAGGTTTGGGAAATGATAACCAATTATATTGAATAATTAGGTCAGACCCAAGAAACAGGATGGAGGAAAAATTTGTTTTATTTAAAGGATGAGCGAGAGAAATAGGATGAGGTTAGACTAACTAAACGATCAAGAGATGGAGAAGTTGCAAAGATCGAAGCACCTTCGTAATCAACCCTAAAAAAAAGACGAAATAGACTATCTTCCTTAAATTGGGGAAAATGTAATAAATATTGAAATGATAAATTAATATAAATTATAGTTAACTATTTATATCTACGCAATTTGAATAAAAACATAATTTAAAAGATAAATAAACTCGGAGTTTATTAGTTATTATATAATATTTATATTTTTTTAAATACAACTATTGTTATTTGATTAGAGATGTACATATACCGACACACTCATGGTATTGACTATCTCTTTTTGAAAACGCAGGAGATGGAACCCCTTCTAAAAAACATAAATCCATGTTAGGTTTTTTATAAATAAGTAGTAAAGACTAAAGAGTAAACTTTAGTCATCCATTGATATTCAGTATAAATATAAATATGATTACAGAGTAACTCCACAACACCAAACGTCAATTTTAAATCCTTTAAATGAATCTTGTCCATTGGCAACCTCTGGAGGTTGAAACGCAGGGGAGCCTTGACTAGTATAACATGTGTCGTCAAGTGAAAATGTAGAAATTTGCTTTATATTTTGTAAAATATAAATATAAAAATTTGGCTTTTATCTTAAAAAATTAGAATTTTATAAAAAATATAAATTATTCCACTTAATATAATTCACTTTAAAAATATTCTCCTTTGGTGGACCTTTGGTCACTTTTCTCAGTCTTTGGCTACTAATTTTACAGATATTAGTTAACATAATATTATACATTTCCTTCTAAGAATGTTAATTATAGTAATTATTTAAAAAAATTAGTAGCTAATTCTTATTATTTAAAAAAATATTTATTTTATTCATTTTGGGAGAATGGAGATAGGAAACCCCAAACTAAAATCGGAAAATTGGCCTCACCTCAAGCCTGTCAAAAATCGACCACAACCCAACACAGCCCAAAGACCAAATGATTTGAAATATATAATTTTATAAATAGTAATTAATATTTTAAAGAGTGAGTAGGGGATATAAAATAATATTCATATTTTATTTCTGTATAATTTTTCAAAAATAAAAATGAAATGTAAACCAAGAATGCAAGCCGTTATCTATGAAGGTTCCGGTTAGGTTACTGTTCGAAGGCGAAAAAAATGATACGCTTCAGTTACGATTAATGTTTCGGCTGGGTTACAGTTTTAGAATTGTAAAGGTATTGTATTGTCCGGTTTTATATGTATATTTATTTCAAATTCGTTTTGAATACAAATAGAACTCAAAACGTGAATAATTCATAAAAAAAAGTTCTTTCAGGTAAAACGAACAACTTAGCTCACTTAGGGTCCTTGGTCACCAAAAACCATCTCGTACAAGGGTGTGACAAATTACAATCAGTACCGATTCGGCCTACTCCCCTTTAATTATTTTAAATTTAGTGAACAAAAAGTTAGAGTAACTAAAAAATAGCCAAAATTTAAGCCTCCTAACCAGGGTTGCCAGATATTCCGCTTTAAGCGTAATTTTCCGATTTTTTAATTTAGTTTACGTCAAAATACGCCATCTATTGATTTAAGTTTTCTTCCAATTTTTTATGCTTTCTCCCGATTTTTTTTATAATTTTTTTAAAATAGCTATCATTTTTTAAGGCATCTTGTTATTGTTTTTTTTTTCATATTTAGAGAAAGGAAAAAACAAATATAAATTATAATTTAAAGATAAGTTTAACATCCAAAAAAATCTAAACCGCAATTCATGGGTCAGAGATATATTATTGATTTTTAGATTTATTTATCATGCCTCTTCCTAAAATTATTTTCGAGGTCCAAATCCAAATAAGTATAAGAGATTTATTTATAAAAAGTAAGTAGACATATAGTTTATAATATTCTATTATATACAATTTTTTATAAAATATTAAGTAAAATGCCACTTTTACAGACGTATCTGACAGTTATATAATATATTACACTTAATATTTTTAAAATTTTACTAATAAATGCTTTTGAATAAATATAAGTAACAATTTGCTTACAAATATTTAACGCCATCTATTTATTTACAAAATAATTAAAATTAAGCGTATTTATTATTCATCACACAATGGATGTAATAAATTAGATATCTTTTCTTCTCTTTTTACGTGTTTTTAGGAAGCTATTTTTTTCTTCTTCGGAATATAGTTTTGAGTTAAATTTTTAATACAAGTATATTTTTGATATTATTACAAACTACAATTATTTTAAGATATAATATACCAATGGTGGGACAATATATAAAATCTTAATCACCATATCATTCTGGTCCTTATTTTATAGTTCCAAAATGTTTCATTTCTAATATGGCATCCTTGCCGTGTAAATAACTCAAGGCTTCTATATATTTGCACAATAATTTCTTTCAAAGATTTTTAGTGTTTTTATTTTATCAATTTATCCAACATAATAAATTCTTATACTAGTTTACATCGAGTGTCATGGCTATTACTGCAAATTAACCAGCATCTATTATTTGTGTTGCTATGTAATTTAAGATTATTACTATAACGGCTGAGAGCATATGATTGCATATTTTAGATAAACATAATGGTCAACTGTGTAGTCGTTTATATATTATCTATCATTTAAAATGGATGATAATTTTAGAAATTTAATATCTCACAATAATTTTCTCGATTACTTATCTATACCATCATGTCATCTAAAAGGAAGCTCTAACCACTTAAGTTTTATGATTTGGATTGGTCGTTTATACTCTCTTCTTCAAGAATTGTTGATTTGGTTTAGGCCTATAAATTTTTCGTTATTAGTCCATTCTATAAATGTGTAAAATGGTAACAGAGGATTATATTAGTTTGATAATCTTTTGTCAATGTAAGTTGATAAGAATTTTATTATTGCATTATGTGGTTTTTAAAAACTATTATCAATTGAGGCATATGTATGAATTAATTAATCTTTTTTATCACTTGTAATTCTTTAGACGCAAATTTTTTTTATATCAGCAATCGAAAATATTTTATACTGTAATAAATAGATTTTGTATTAAAAAATTGTATTTTTAGAAATGTCTTATATTGTTTTAATTATTTATATGCCAGTTTATTTTGTATGCATAATATAATAAATGAGAAAATTAAAATTCAGAATAATTGTTCAGATTTAACAAATTTAAAAAAAGTATAATATATTAATGTAAAACCCCCCATAAATTTTTTTTAGTTGTGCCCCCTGAGATTGTAAAGGCTAGCGACGCCCCTGAATATATATGTATTTATGGTTTTGTAATTCTGTCATTTTAATTTTTTCTTGTAGATTTTTAAACATATCTATTTTATTTTTTTTATAAAAAAATAATAAATTTAAATTTCCAATAGCATTTCCTTTTCTCTTAGGACATATAAGAACTACGAGATTCAACAGAGGATATTATTCCATATAAATAATATACTTTTTAGATAGTATAAATTACCATTTTCAATACCAAGTTTAATGAATTCAGGATTATTGAGAATAATTACATCTTCAAATATATTGTTACTTTAATCGAACGTTTTGACTCTATCAATGAGGCCAGTTAAATATTTTGTTTATTATATAAGTATAAATGCTCTTACAGAATATATAAATGTTGTTTTATCTGTCTGTTTTCTCAAAAAATATTATGGTTTTAATGATTATTTGATTCATAAGTTTGATATCCAAAAAAAGTAGTCATTCATTTGTATATATTCAATTTATCATCGTGTGTGTTCTCTATTCTTATAAGGCGGACTCTCTGTAAGATAGAGAATCTCACGATAATCATAAAAAATATTTTTACAAAGAAAGACCATAGTATTAGGATGATTTCTTTAAATATAAGATCGCTAAGTGACAAATTGACTATTCTTAGGCAAACTATAAATGATCAACAATACGATATCCTCCTTTTACAAGAAACTCATCTGAAAGAGACGGAAGTATGAAATCTCTTAGGATACATACACCTTATACTGCAGTTCGAATGCTGAACACGTATGGGCAGGCGTGGCAATTTTAATACATAACAAACTAATTAAATTTGTAAGCTTTCCATTTTCCAGTCGCATTTGCTGCCTTACCTTGAATATTGATTACAAGAAAATTCATCTATTCAATATTTATGCACCGCAGAATGATAAAGTATTTTACATTGAGCCGGAAAATATCTTAAAAGAACTGCCTCATCGAGATAGTATTATACTAGCAGCCAATTTTAATGCCTTGGTCGGAAGGCCCAACAATTCTACCTGCCTCGGGAACGCCACACTGGTACAAAGTACGAACACTAATGGCAAGAAATTAATAGAAATCTGTGAACACTTCAATTTGAAAATAGGAAATACCTTCTTCAATGATCCTAGCCATCACACCATGACCTACAGAAGTCCCTACTTTGGCACTACCTCACAAATTGATTTCTTTGTAATTTCCACCAATATCTTCAAGTGGGTGAAAGACATCAAAGTCGTCAGCAAATTAAACTTCACTTATTTACGGACTATTAGCCACTAGGTTGCGAGCTAAGGATAAACAATAGCATTTTCCGAACCGTAATCAACAAAACCACCTTAACGCTACACGCTTCATAGCTAAGAAAGACTTGGCACAGCTGAACGATCGGGATATAAAAGAAGAGTTCATCACAAAGCTAAAAACATGGAAAAACACCCTAAATGGCATCAACCCTAATATAACCTCGAAAGATATGTAACTAAATTTATCAAGCTGTATGACTTCATGCTTAAGACCATGAATTAAACTAAAGAGTGGCTCGCCCCTTCAACAATACAGATAATTAAAAATTTAACAACTAATATCTCCTATAACCAATATACTATACACCACAGAAGGTTTATAACTCACTGCATAAGAACAGACAAAAGATCTTTTATTGCCAACTTATCTAGATATATACAATATAATTTTAACAACAATAATATTTACAAGGCTTTACAATCTCTCAAATTACCTTTAAATCCAATCTTCTACCAAGATTACACATTGAAAACAATAAAATAATAACGGACCCCAAGGAACAATTAGCTATATGGACAGACCATACATGAATCTTTACAGGACGAGGTGGCCTAAACGAACGTGTAATAATCTTTTCCAACCACCCAATCGGAACCGGAACAAAATAGATATAATCAATGCCATTAAAAGACTAAAAACTCATAAAGCTGCCGGAATCGATGGGATCTTTGCGGAACTCTGGAAGATAGATGCTGATCTAAGTTATAGTCTACTGCTTCCTCTCCTTAATGAGATATGGAATACGGGCAACTTCCCAGAGGAATGGATGACCTCGATAATACTGAATTTCCTTAAAAATAAGAACCCGACTAGCCTGAATGACTACAGAAGGATTGCACTGATCCCAGTTACCCTAAAAATGTTCACGTATATTATAGCAGTCAGGATCAAACCAATCATCGATAGGAACCTCTCAAACGCCATCATATCGTATAGAAAGGGTAGAAACACGACGGAACTAACCATGGCTCTTAATGTTATTTGGAGAAAGCTAGAATGCATAAGTCCCCAATATTTGCCCTAATGATTGAT